GGTTGTCTTTTCCATGATTAAGTCAAGATTCAAAACCACTACATATATCAGTTGCCTATATCATATTTACTCTTTCAAAAAGGTCATTCTTACAAATAAGACCTTAGTTGCAGATCATTTTACTATCCCACATGATATAGAGGTACAAAGAATCACTGTGTATTTTCCATCTTTGAAAGCAATCGTCTTTGCTAGCTAATTGGCTAATTTATTCTCTACCTCTAGCCATAACATACTAAAGATAATATCATATCTAAGGTTTATTATTATAATAAGATATAAATAAGATATTTATATTATTGACATATATGAATAGATAATTAGAACCATAGAAGTTTTTAGAATTGGAGTTAGGTTAGTAGACCAGGTAGGATCCACCGTAAAACTTTTTAAAAAGAATTTAAGGCAGTTATTTAGATGGAGCCCACTATAGAACCTTCTAAAAAAAAATACCTTAAGATGGTTATCTAAGTAGGATCCACCACTTATAAACATTCTAGAAAGTCTACGATAGTAGAACAAAGTATAAATAAGACTAGTTGGGGCCTTTTGGGACATTTAGTCAGGTATAGCTTTAGACCTTTTTTCTTAGTAAAATTTGGTTTCGTATCTTTTTAGTATAATTTGTTCAGTTCTGTTCTATTCTATTTTTATTTACTCAATTTTGTCTTTCGTGTCTTACTCTATTTAATTATGTTCAATTTTGTTCTAGTCTAGTTTGTCTTATCTTGTGATAAGGTTTTATATTAAGTAGATTAGAAGGATCTTTGATACTTGAAATAGAAGACTCATGTTTTATTGGTATCAAAGCAAGTATTAGTCTATTCTTTGGAAGTGTATTGATAGCCGTTGTTTAATTAAAAGTTAATTGTTGTGATCATATCAAGTACTATTTTGGGGCCATAACAAGCTATTTTAAGAAATTAGCTAGAAAGAGAGAAGGTATTATAGTAACAAAGTTTAGTAAGAAAATTATAATATGGGAGATATGGAAGAGAAATCCTAGATGGAGACTTAGATATAACACCTCTTAAGCCAGATAGCCACTCTATAAGGACAAATAAAAGCTTTTGAGACAAAGAAGTTGACATCTGCTTTGTTGAAATTGAATAAGCTTGATACATACTTAGGGACCTTAAGGCAAGAAGATGTATGTCAATGGCTCTTTAGCATGTAACATTACTTCCAATTATTTGGGACAAACACTAGCAAAGGGATTATATATGCCTCTAGTTATTTGAGAGGTGCAACAACCATTTAGTGGCAACATCGAGCTCAAAGCTATAGAGCTTAAGACAGATTTTGTACTTGAAAGGAGTTTGAGACCAAGCTTAAGAGTCAATTTTGATCCATCAATGCGGAAAAGTTAGCACTCAATCACTTGGCAAATCTTATACAATCCAAGTTAGTACAAGATTATGTCTTTTGATTCAAGTCCCTATGTTTCCAAATTAGCAACATTTTAGAAACGGAGATGATGGATTGATTTGTAAGAGGGTTGAAACTTAAGGTCTAGTAAGAGGCGGAATTAAGGGATTTATAAAAATTTGAAGAGGTAGTTAAGATATTGTAGAGAAGATTGATACTATAGATTTCAGAAATCAAGGGATGCGATATATAGTACAAAGTTCTATACTACTAACTAATACTATGGTATAACAACCAATGCTGATGGAGATTGATGCCTTGCAAGGACCATTGACACTATAGATACAACAAATATTGGCATAGAAGGAATTATATTTTTAATATTAAAAATTAGACCATCACATTAGAGATTGTTCAAAATATTAAAATTCAAATACCAACAAATCACGACGAGTAGACAATCTCGAGGATTAATGGATTGATGAAGAAGTAGAGCACAAAAGTAAGGCTCTTTAATAAAGGTACCAAGGGCTAGTACTAGAAATAGTTGTTGCTTTTCATAGACAAATGGCATAGCCTCAAACAACTATTAGAAAGGTCAATTTATGTGTCTAATAGGTCGACTAAGAGGACAGCCTTGTCAAGTACTTGTAGATTGCAGCTTTACAAAAAATTATATATTGACAAAAATTATCAATTGACTTGAGATTTAAACAAAGGTTATCAAAAGAGGGAGTATACACTTAGCATATGACCAAAAAAAACATGTTGAACGAGATAAATGAAGAAAAAACTTTGAGATTGAATAACACTTATGCCTTAAAGGAGAAGTTCAAAGTAACTAAAACATGACTATTCTATTTCAAGTTTTGAAGATATTTTTAATCCATAGTAATATAAAACCTCATTACAAGATAAGACAAAATAGATCAACAAAAAACTAAATAAAATTAAACAGAGTAGGAGATAGAAGATAAAATTGAGTAAATAAAAATTAAATAGAATAAAATTGAATAAAATAGAATAAAATAAAAAGATGCAAAATCAAATTTTATTAAGAAAAATGGTGTGAAGCCATACTTGAATAGATGCTCCAAATTCCTTGGCCAATCCTATTTATATTTTGTTCTAATATCCTAGACTTTCTAAAATATTCCTAGGTGGTGGACCTTATTTAGATAACTTCCTTAAATTTCTTTTAGAAGGTTGTATGGTAGGCCCCAAGTTGCATTGTAAATGGAATAACCTTTTCAAAGAACTTTGTATTGAAGTTGTGGACGTCTACTACCACGACGAAGGTAGCGATGCTCCAAAATGTTGTTCACTTCATATTCTTGTTGGATATCAAGTACGACTCGTAATAGTGGTAGTTGGTGTCGATCCAAAAAGTGCTTTGGCTTGATATAAAATTCCTTCAATTTTGAAATATAGAAGACTAGATGGACTTGAATATGTGGCGGAAGCTTGATGTAATATGCAATATCAAAAATTATTGTAGAAATGTGGAATGGTCCAAGCTATCGAGGTACTAGTTTATAGATTTAGGTTGATATAGCAAGTGGAAAGTTGCCATTGGAAAGTAACACGTAATCACCTTTTTAGAAGGTTTGGTGTTGCTAGTGGTTATCTAGATGTTGGTTTTATTGATTTTAAGCAATAAGGAGGTGATGCCGAGCCTCTTATAAGATTATTGTAAACCATTGTATAAATTCCTCCATTATTAGATTGTTGGTATCAATGGTAAGATAGAGAATTACTAGTGTAATCAGATGTTGATCAATATTAAGAAAAAATAGTAAATGACTTGTACTTGCTTGAATACTATCATTGTAAGCAAACTCTAAGGATGTCAAGTATTCACCTCAATCATTATGATGAACCACTACAAATGCTTATAGCATATCTTTCAAGGTGCAATTTGCAAGCTGTATTTGCCCTTTTATTTGGGGATTGAAGACTATAGACATAGCAAGTCGTGTGCCTAATAGCTTAAACAAGGCTTGCCAAAAACTTTCTATAAAACGTGGATCCCAATTTGAAACGATGACATGAGAAAATCCATGGTGATGATAGACTATATCAAAAAAAAAAAGCCGTTGACATATAACTTCTTGCCTTAAGGTCCCTGAGTATGTATCAAGCTTATTCAATCTCAACCAAGCAGATGTCAACTTTCTTATCTTTGAAGCTTTTATTTGTCCTTGTAGAGTGGCTATCTAACTTAGGAGGTGTTGTATCTGAGTGTCCATCTAGGATTGCTCCACCATATCTCCCATGTTGTAATTTCCTTACTAAACTTTGCTATTGCAACGCCTTTTCTCCTTCTAGATGATTTCTTAAAGTAGCTTGTTGTGGTTCCAAAATAGTACTTGATGTGATGACAACAATTGACTTTTAACTAAACAATGGCTATCAATACACCATTAATAAAAGCTACCAAAATAAAAGCTCTTCTAAAAGATTTTAGAGATCGATCCTACCATGATAACCACCTTAAGCCTTTTTAGAAGGTTCTATAGTAGGTCCCACATGAACCACTATCCTAACTTCAATTCTAAAAACTTCCCAAAAACAACTCTAACTACATATTTCTATGTGCAAATAATACAAATATCCTATCCATGCCCTGTTATATAAGTGATCTCTATTAGAAGATTTTAAATTTTTTTATTAATTTTTTTTAATATTATTTATTAAAATATTTTTCATAATTATTCAAAAGATATAATTAAGTTTATTTTTTATGGATAATAATTTCTACTCTTTGAAATCTATTAATTTATTGGTATTTTTTTGTAATACTATGTCTACAATATTATATATAAATAATATTAATTTATTTTTAAAATCTAAAATATTCATTAATTTCTTTTTTTATGATATTTTAAAATTTTATTAAATCATTCTTTTAACTCATAAATTTTTGAATGAAAATAAGGCATTTTATAATAAGCATTACAAAAGTGATTAATCTAATTTCAATATAGTTTTTATAAAAATTATGAATTCTCTAATTTTTATAATTACTAATACATATCAATATTTTAATTTAATATAATATAATAAATATATTATATTCAAAATTTAAAACATCATTTATGAATTTATTTTTACTCTAAAATATTTGATAATTTGAATTCAAAATAATATAGTGATTATTACAATTTATTTAAGAAGATGCACATCTGGGCTTGTTTATTTAATTTTAATACTGTAATTGGAATTTTCCAACATCCCATCAAAACTTATGATATTCTTTTGCCATAGATTAATCCTTATACATATTTATGCTACATATGTATTTGGGAAAGCACATGTTTCTATGAATTTGCTGGAAGCTTCTAATTTCGTTTAAGGAGACAGCAACATTCAGATGCTCAATGAAGAATTTGTTGAGTTGTTACTGGCATGGTGCGATGCCTTGTGCATTGAGTAAACTATGAGTATTTTTACGAGTAATAAAATTACTTTATTTAGAATTGATATCCTGACAATAAAATAATTAAAGCTATACGTAATTAATCAACACTAAAATTACATAGCATTTATATAGAATACTATCGTACATACAGGTTTTAACACTTGCACGGGGACTTCGTGTTTTGGAGAATATTGCTTGAACCAACTAACAGTTGAACATCAGAATATGCATTTTATTGAAAAGTGATATTGCCATTCATCGCAGGCTCAATCGTAAAAAGAACAATTTATTCAATGTTGATAAGAAAGGGGGATCAATCACAAAGCTTTACTACCAACAATTCTGAACATCAACCTTCTCCTATGATCCCTTTGCTTACGACCAAAACAACAAAATTTTACACCACTCTGAAATTGTTCTCAAGAATGTCGACGACTACAATCCGTCGACCAATGTACACGTTTACAAAACACACGCAAAGCGTCCGGCAACGTGAACGTGAGGTAATATACTCTCTGATGCAGCAGCTTCTAAAGCATGACTGTAAGAAACTCAACAACCCCAAAAGCCCATGCATCCCGAAGGATGCGTCGTCAGCTCCGCCCTCGCGTCGATGTGCGTAAGGTTACGAAAATCGTCAACACGATTGAAGAACTAGGTGCAGACTAGATCCGGTGTTGAATATACAGCTTAGTGGTTGAGGATCTTGCCCAACAATCCTTGCCTCTTCCTGGGAGTTACAGGGTTGGAACCATCGAAAGAGCTGCGATGGGTGCCGGTGGTGGTGTTCAATGGGGTGGGGTGGTGAGATACCCCAGATCCAGTGGTAGCGTCGAGGGGATTGTGGTGGAGCTGGCCTACTCCAGTTCCGGTTGTAGTATCAAGGGGATTGTGGTGGGCTACTCCAGTTCCGGTTGTAGTGTCGAGAGGATTGTGGTGGTGATGACCGTGGGTGCCCGTAGTGTGCAATGCACCACCATGCTCGCGATCGGAGTCGGAAGATGAAGATGAAGAGCTTGTGGTCCTGTTCAACAAGCCTCCTTTGTGCTTGCGGCCGTGCTTGTGGCCCAGAAGGTTAAAGTGCGACGGGTTGACGAACTCGCCAGCAGGTGCCTCACAGTAGCTGCAGGGAAAAACACAGCGAGCACGAGTTAGAGATAATGTTTTTGGATGACACTTGGTTGGGACTGGACCGTAATGTTTAATGGTGATCGTCGACTTGTGACTCAGCGCAGTTGAGTATAATGAAGAAAACAGATGATGATAATTAAGCTTTTGCACTTACTTTCCGGTAGGCACCTCGACCGTGCGAGTGATTGGCACCTCCCTAATGACGGGTACGCGGATTCTTTCCTCCACATCCTCAATGATGACTCTGGGAACCCTCTCAATTCTGGGAGTGTCCACGTACTCAATGACGGGCACCATATCAGTAACCTCGCGCTCTTCGGGGACAACTCTGTGGAAAAGCAATATGCTCAAAGTCAGCCAAATATTTCCGTGGAAGAATACACATTCCATTGCGTAAATTCACATTCTAATAATCTTCTGTGTCGCATGTGAGCTGACACTATTTAGGTCGAGCCCGGACAGGTCGTCCAAGAATCAAAGTTGTGAAACTCCAAATCCTTCGCAAGTCCTCTAAGAGCCGAAGGAAGATAAAGCATTTGTTACTCCTTCGAATAAATCGATGGCCAAAGGATCTACGTGGCTTACCTGTACACAGTCTCCATTCTAGTCTTCGGCACATCCCTGATGATGGGCACGCGGTCGACGTGCTGGACCTCATCCAAAACCACTCTAGTCTTGGGCACAATTATAGTGCGCTCTTCGTTGACGATTTCCTTCACGTAGTCTGTCTTCTCCACAGTTCGCATTTCAGGGTACCTTTGGATTACTTGCACTCGGGTCTCGTATTCCTTCGGCTGCAGAACACATACAAAGGCTACGACTCAGTGTCATCCATCTTGAACCGAGATTGTAATCTAATTTCACACCGAAGCTAAATTTCAGTGCGAAATCTAACTTCACATTGGGATAGGAATCAATTGTAGTCCTTATGCGTCCAATCACGGCAATGGCGATTGCTGGATCAAATAAACATGAAGGATTAATTAGAAAATGCTAAGCTTACCAGATTCCTCAGATTCGGATTCGGACAGTAAGCTTCGCCCTCATTGCTTACAACGGTCCTCACACCCTCCGTGCCATGAAGCCCATGATGACGACGCCTCCCTTCCTCATCGGAGCTGCTCAAGGAGCTGCTCCTGCTTCTACTTCTGCGGTGTCCGGGGAGCCTCTCGCGTCTACGCCCGGTGCGTCCCAAACCAGTAGCGGCAGCCTTAGCAGCTTCTATACCTTGGCCTGCGGCACCACGGCCCTCCATGCGAGCAGTCTCCGCACCAATAGCAGCACGTTCTCCAGCGGTAGCCATCTCTTTGTAATGTATGAAGATTTTTCCCCAAAACTTTTCAAGACTTTGCGTTCAACCTCAGCACCTGATCATCAAAAACCAAACCGTAATTGAATTCAGTAAACCAAGCATAAAAAACAGACAGTAGCATTGTCTACATATACTCGCCACATTGTCGACATCAAGTCGCATGCACCCCGCAAACCTGATACTACACTCTCTCTCTTTATATACGTTTGCACCGCCTCTAAGATTGGCCAAATCTAGTTACCACCATGCAAACACCAGCATCTAATACCCAAAGTAGAAAACATAAACTCCTGAAAGCGACTTGCGAACCCAACACACATGACATCGCTGAGAACCGGCCAGGACAGCTTTAACAACCAAAAATACGACCATGAGTATACGGCCCCAATATTCCACCTGGAATCCAATTCCGAAACAAAACGAGTAGGTTAACTGCTGCTCACCAGAGCGTTCACAGAAACTGCTGGAAGTGTAATCTACGCAACACCGCTGATTCGAAATGGGCATACAAGTGAAAACGCGACTGTGATCTGGACAAACGGGGGCTCACTGGGTTACTTGAAGGGCTCAAATCGTGGCGTTCACGAGCAACACAGGCAGCTCTCATGGAACCCGGGGTCAACACGTGGAATGACTCCGGTTACTAAGGCATCGTGCGACCGGTTCATTTTTCGTTCCCACTGGAAAGTAAAAAAACAAATCTTAGAACTAGCACAACGAGGGGACTGATGCCACGGTAGCAGTGCCAGTAATGCAACTGTGCAGCAGAGAAGCAAAGATCGGGGTAGCACTAAATACCACAAAGGCTCAGGAGCACAGGATTGGACCGTGGATCCAGATCCGGCTGTGAGGACCAGTGAAAGTGAGGAGGGATGCAGCGCGGGGGAGGCATGAGGCGCTGTGGCGGACGACGGCTGGCAGGGATCGGTCCCCGATGGGATCCTGGCATGGAGCTCCGACCGAGGTCGCAAGCTGCCGGGATCGTCGAAAAGCACCCAAAATCTCGATAATCGTCGCGCATCTTCGGTAACGGGGACTGGGGCGCTTTTGGCCCGAATGCGGGGCGTGCTGACAATTAGAACCCACGTCACGGGCTTGCTCACCCGTTCTACCCTGCTCTCGCCAGTTGTTCCTCTCTGCCTCTCACAGGAGCCGGGCTAGTTGCATCCCAGCTCCAGGTGTCATTTGGCATGGCACCACTTCCTTCCTCCCCGTCTTCTGAGCTTTGTTTCTTCATTATTCTCTTGATTAAGTTTCGTTTTTGTTGATTTTTGGGGTTTGGTTTCTTTATTCTCTTACTTTGAAGATTCCATGGTGGGGAGGGGGGTTGTGTTAAGATTGGGCAAACCAATGTAATGTATTAGAGTTTTTTAAACATGGAAAATTTGTTGTTGACATGAGTTTATGTTTGGAGGTGTTGTTTTCGAAAAATCCCGCTTTGCAAGTGGCATTTCTTTGGCCAGGAATTTTAAATGAGATTTGATTGGTTCTACTCCATCATATTGCATAGATAACAAAAAAAAATATTTACAGCTGATGAGTTAAAAAATGTCACATTTGATAATTAATGCAAATAAGTTTTGTATACGAAAATGTTTTATGAGTTTTATTGTAATATTTTGTCCATGTTCAGAGCTTTTTTACAATATATATATATATATATATATATATTTCTATGGTGTATACAATCATATTTTATTAAAACACCATTAGACGTTTTTGGCCTAAGTGTATATTTGAAGTATTGACTCTTAAATGTTTTTGTAAAAATTTAAATATGAAACATCATTTTATATATCTTGTATATATAATAAAAATTTAAACTATATTGTGTTGTATTACTATCTAATTTAAGATAGACAAGTGACTATGATTATTTTATATTTATTTATTTATTTTATTTTCTTGAATAAAAACATAATGGTATTCTTTCATCAATAGAGTATATTTCTTATTTTAAGGTATTATACTACTTTGCAAAATTCTTGACTTCATACAACTAACTCAAATTATTCTAATTAGCTTTTGATATTTCATATTATGTAAAATAATAGAAAAAAAATATAATTATTAAAATATTGCAATGAAAATTTAAATATGTAGATATTTTATGTAAACTAAAATAACCAAAATTAATAACATCTAAATTAAATATATCATATTACATATATTTATCAAGACAAAATACAAGATTTTTTTGTGAGATGAAATAGTTCTTATTGACAAAATACTATTAAAAATATTAAATATTTTTTTTATAAAATTATTCATTTTTAAAAAATTATAAAATTAAATTAATTAATATAGAAATTATTATTATTATTATTATTATTAGTATTATTACCAAATACCTATCTCTTTCAACCTAGATAATAACATCTTAATTGTTGCAACCACTCTAAAATCATAGATTTGATTTAAATGTCATGTTTGTTAATTTTATAGTGATCTTAAAAAGAAACTCTATATTATCTTTATTGCATTTCAATTTTTTTAAACTAATCATTAGTTTCTAAAATCAAAGTTATAAACTTAATATATTTGGAGCTAATTTAACTTTGAATAAAAGTCCATGTATTGGAGGACTATGTATAATTTAATTTATAAATAAATATATGTTAATCAGAACATCTAAAAAGTATATAACATCTTTTAGAAGAGGACCTTAGATTAAGCAATAAGTAAATTGATTTTTTTATTAAATTTAAACTGTAATATTTGATTTAAAAACTAAAAATATATAAAAAATAAATCTCTTAAAAGACATTCATCATACTTAATGATTGAAAGTATTTTTTTTATGATTAAAAAAATTTCTAATTGAATTAGTTGTTAAAATAATTATATTTCTTGCTGTCTATCAATATTAAATAAGTAATTATATAGTAATATACAACTAGTCTAGGAAAAAAAATTGTATATTTATTAATTTTTTTATTCTTAATCTAATATCAGACATTCTAATTAAATTATTATTTTTTATTTTTATAAATATTATTATCCTATATTTTGACTTCAAGAATTCTTTATTTATGTTTTTAGTTTATTTAGGATTATTATTTATCTAATTAGATAATTTTATTTTTTTATTTTTTATTTCTTTTGAAAGACTATTCACTATATTATTCTAATAGCTCTATGTATTATGTATGGAGAAAAGTAATAAATCTTAATTGCTTTATATTACACAACTAGATAATTTAAAGTAATTTCGACTAGCAAAGATGATACAAGCACTATAAATGAATATGTATTTAAAAATATTATTATAGAATATGAATTTTTAAGACCATTGATGCTTAATTTAGAAAAATAATTTTTAAAATTTATTATAGATTTTTTAACAAGTAAATTCATATCACAAATATAAAAGCCAATTTTCATTATCTAAAATAATTGGCAAATCAAAAGACCAATAGATTATTAAGTAGGATTTCAATCAATTTTTTTCAATCTCTTATTTACGAATTTTATTCTGATATTTATTTTAAATTTTTCATCAATTAAAATTTTACAAATTAAATTTTAATAATATTTATAATTTATAAGCATGAACATTATTTCTTAAGTTCATCTATCTAATGTTAATTTAACCTTAGATTAATACCCAAAAATGACCAATTGCAAATCAGGGTCAAAACCAAATCTTAGAACACAAAACGACATGCCTATAACAAATAAATAGTTTTTTAATTGTTTAAAGAATGGATTTTGACAACAAACTAAGAAGAGGATCTTTGGGCATTACTTTTGAGTGATTTGAGTTTGTAATAACTTTGTAAAAGCTTTGAAAAGTCATGGTTGTTTTGGAATGACTTTGATTTTTGAAAAATAAAAAAGATTTATGTTTTGAATCATTTTATAAGATTTGTAGTAGGTATATAATAAAATATTTATAAGTTTGTGACTACCATTGTGTCAAATATATATTACAAGTTTGAACTTGATTGAATGGTTAATTTTAGAATTATTAAAATTCAAATAGATTAGAATCTTTAAAATTTGAATTTGACAAATTAGAGAGGATTTTTAATATTTTCAATAATTTATTAATTAGATTGAGATTAATGTTTTTGCAATAGTAGTAGACTTAATTTTCTACAAATATACAAATTTTGAGAGAATTTAAATACAAGAAATATTAGTCCTAGGTGATTGATATCAAGATTGAAAAAAGAAGCTAGATGATTCTCTATCACAGACATACTCATGTAAGCCAGTAATTACAAATATAAATAAGTAGAAGTAAGTAAAAGTAGATAAAAGTAAGTTAATTCTATAATATTTGGTATGGAAGTTTTTTAGAAGCTTCATAGATGTTGCTTTGACTTCATAGGTGTCTTTAATTGACTTTTTGGATTAGAAACGTGGTCAACAAGTTGGCCATGTGCCACACATGTTGTTAGCTTGAAGACCAAGCTAACAATGTGGCCCACACATAGAAAAACTTGCCTTGTAAGTCAAGGCATGTGTCCTACAAAGTTAACACTTATTGGAGGTCCTATAGAACATCGCCACGTAGCCCCTAGTTAGATAGTATATATAGAGACAGGAATGAAGCCTTCTTCACTCTTGTCAACTCCTTTCTTACTTCAAATTTAGCTTCAAGGATCTCTAGTTTTCTTGTCTTTTGGCAATAGCCATTCCAATTTCTCTTTCAATATACATACTTGTTTATTTATATTTTGTTACCTTTCTTTGAGTGAAGGCTCACTTGTCAGAATTGTTTTTTCATCGAGTTCTTGTCCTTGACAGATTGACAAGAGTACACCTACAATATCAAATTTTTGTCTAAACTTGATGAAGAGTGGATTACTTTTTTTTTTCTTGATAAGATATAAGCATATTAAAAGTTACGGATTACCCTCTTCTAAACCGATATTGTCTTTAGTATTTTCTTTGTTCTCAAGTCCTCTCTTCTATTTGTCTTGAGTGATATTAGACATCTTCTCTTTTCTAAGTGTTATCATGGCAAAACTTGTTGAAATGAAGAATGCAATGGCACAAATGCAAGAGCAATTGAGAGAGTTAATGCTTGTGATGCATCAACTCAATTTACCACCACAAGGAGCAACAAGATTGACAAGAAGTGAAGATATAGAAATGATTGGAACTGCTTCAACATCTGTACCAAATCATGTCCCTTTTCCTATGGTGGAATGTCCTTCCAGTATTAGAGAATCAAGAATTACCCTACCCGAGAAGTTTGATGGCACGAGATCAAAGTTTAGAAGATTTATCAATCAAGTATAACTTGTGATTGAACTTCAACCCCAAAGCTATCCCCAACTCTAGGATTGCAAGTTAAATTCATTGGTACACTTCTTTCAAGTTTAGCACTATCGTGGTTTTCATCTTTTCTTGAATGATGAGATCCAATATTAGATAATCTAAAGGCTTTTCTGGCGGAGTTTCGATCCATGTATGGAGAACATGATGTAATTTGTATTGCAACCAATAAGATCCATATTTTATGATAAGGCAATCAATCAGTAACGTTATATGCTTCACAATTTTGACAACTTGCAACTGATATCAAGTGGGATGATGTTGCACTCATTAGCCAATATCTCTACGGATTAAAATATGAGGTAAAA